AATATAAAAATTTAGTATGACCATGTTTCAAGTCAGCTATCCACCGTTTTGCAACTATATATTATCGTACAGAATCCTCATAATCCCTCTTCATTCAACTCGGATTTATTTCTCAATAATTAATATTTAAATTTAAAAAAATTTTATTATAGCATGATACTTGCTTCACTCTCTTTTCTGAAGCACTTGAAGTCGGTCGATAATAAAAATTATTATAAACAATTTTAATAAAAAAAAACCCCAGGTTGATCATTTTCAGAGTTGTATTTGTTAGCATTAAAAGCAATAAATTCAAAAAATATTTGCTCACAAATTTGAAGCAACTGTACACTATATAGTGATCTAGAAAGGTCTCTCAGTTTTTTCAGTTTTTAAATGATATTTATGGAATTTTTAAGGGCTCCAGATAGGGAAGATATACTATGAATAATGACAACATTGCCGTTGTCCTACTGTTTTCATCAAATACTACTATATAGCTCATACTTAAGTGGCCCAGTTGCACTACATATTTTAACTTTTAGGTGGTTTCAGGTGGTTTGAAAAACTCAAAGACGCACGATTTTTGATGATTCAATTACATAATAAAGATAATTTCTTAAATAAGTGTGATAACCAGCCATGGAAGAATTCTCTATTTAAAGTACCATCATATTATTAAATATATGATGATCTATTCCAAGCACGCCCCCTTTCACGATAAAAAATATTATTAAGTAGATACTACCTTCAATCTATGAAATCCTGGCTGAAACAACCATGTAACTGTGTTGTGTTGTCCTTTTAAATTTCGTCTTTTACAAAAGTTGCCCAATTTTAAAGTGACTTAATAAGAGTATTCAAATATACATACCTACTCGTTAACTCAGTAAATGATAAAGCTGTATATTTGTTTATGTGAATTAACAACGTTACCGAGTTATAGAATTATAGAGCTAAGTTTAAATACTACTAATGTATGAAATGTACTAATGTATGTGAAAAAGATCTTGAATGGGCAACCATTAACGCAATTAGTTACAATTAAAAAAAATAAAAATCTATAAATCTATAATTTATTTTAATTAAATATCTGATATAGAATTAAATAACAAAAAAAATTAAGCTTTATAGCATTATTTAAAAAAAAATAAAAAAATAATCTTAAAAAAAAATTTATTTAAAAAACTAAATGTAAGCGTAATCATGTAAATAGTGCAGTATTTGACAGGACTTACTATAAAAAGTTCTGTCTATTTGCCACCCCCACGTCACTTAAATACGTTGCGCTCCATGATTCCGCACATTTAATATTACGGTTCATAAAATAAGAAGTTTTTTATGAGTGGAATGTGCGTTTGGGTTTGAGTACTCCTACTCGCATATAAAATATTTTAAAATATATAAAAATAAAATAACCGAAATGTATTCTATGAAAAAAAAATTTAAGAAAGGGTACAAATATTTAAATCCAATAACTTCAAAAATCCACATTAAATTTCAACTCAGTTTTTATTCCGAATTATAGCAAAAATTATATATTAAATATATTCATTTAATATTAACCAATAAAAATAGGTGTTTTAAAAAATTCTGCATTTCCATTGCTCATTATTAATTGCTCAATCTTATTATTCTGGGGCAGGAGCGTCTGGTGCAGCAGGAGCTTCTTCCTGGGCGGCAGGAGGTTCGCCAGCGGCAACTTCTGCGGCTGGAGGTTCTTCGATTACCTCAACAGGTTGTGCATCGTTAACATTCTCATTTTCTTCAATAGGTTCAGGAGCTTGGGCTTGTAGCTCTTGTTGGAATTGTGCCTTATTTTCTTCAAATTCGTCTTTCACTTCACCAATACGTGATGGCATAATTTCAGATTCAGGCTTTTCTTCTTCTGGTTCCGTTTTCTCTTTGTCTTCTAACTGTTCTTCCTCTCCTTCCTAATTTATATTGAATATATTAAAAATATCAAATTAAAATTTACTTATAGACATAACAAATACCTTCAACTCTGGAGGTGTCACTGGCACCGTAGCAAACTAAAATATATAACAATAATGAGTATTTTTATATATTGAAATATGGAGTATATAGTATATTATGTTATGTACCTTGGTGCCTAAAGATACTTCTGAAGAAGGCGTGCAAATAATTGATGATTCCATCTGAAAATTAATTAGCACACATTAATTAAAAACAGTTTACATAATAAGAATGAGTAAACTCATATTTTCCAGCAATTATATATACGAAAAGTACAATATTAATACCTCCATTTCCTCCGGTTCATAATCCTATAAAATGAAATGTATGAATGAATTTATTAGAACAAAATTAATACTTAATATGAGTATAATAGTTCTGACTTACTGGTCTTCCGAATTTTCTACGATAAAATCTTTGTATGATTTTAGCAGCTGCTTCTTGTTCCTCTCTTTCTTTTTGACGCTAAAAATGCATTTCGATTGAGCATAAGTTTATATAATTTTTATTATTATAATATAAAAATTAAAACGTAAATGTATCAACTTACCTGAAGTAATAATAACTCTTCTTTTATTTGCTTGCGCACCCTGTAACCTCGGTATGTGGCCTACCAAAATTGATAAAAAAAGGCACTAATTATAATATAGATAATAATATTAATAATAATAAAACAAAGTTTACTGTTGATGCTTAAAAAAATTAGATCTCTTAAGATCTCTGTACGATTAGTATTATTACAGAGCAAAAATCTTAAGACAATACTCAAAAAACTATATGGTCTTTCAAAAAAAAACTACAGGTCCCAGATTTATGTAAACCATAAGAACCAAAACTATAATTCGTAAACAACAATTCCCACATTTTAAATCAATAAGATTAAAGTATATACCATTTGCAATTATACACTTTTTACTGCGTATATATATTTGTACAAAAATCTTAAGACAATACTCAAAAAACTATATGGTCTTTCAAAAAAAAACTACAGGTCCCAGATTTATGTAAACCATAAGAACCAAAACTATAATTCGTAAACAACAATTCCCACATTTTAAATCAATAAGATTAAAGTATATACCATTTGCAATTATACACTTTTTACTGCGTATATATATTTGTACATTGCAAAAATATATGGACTATAGTTACCATAAAAACTACATAAACTATAAAAACTTTGTATATCAGACTATCCAAACCTGAATCAGATTAATTGCAAAAAAGAAATATGTACTAGAACCGCATGTATGTCGCTAAAATTTCTTAAACTCAGTTCAAAATTTTCAAAAATGTTAGTTTCAATAATTGCTTTTATATTCTATTTATTATATCAGGAAATTGAATTTCAGCATAAACTGAGGATACTGGATTAGAGTCCTAAGCCTAATTGGAAAATATTGTTTTTAAATTACCTGTATAGCGATTGCGGCCTTTTCTCTCTTTAGTTCTTCTCTGCGCTTTATTTCACGTGCCATAAAGTATTGATATAACAAGTCAGATCCATCTGCACTCTGATTAAAGAAGCACAAATTTCAAATACAATTTAAATACAGATGACGTTCAAGTCTCACCTTTGATGCGTTCAAATACGCTTGCACGAAACGATTATAAGCATCTTCGATAACAGGTCGTGATATCTTAAGTTCCTCATCCGAAAATCTACAACGACGTATCAACTCATCTAACATATCATCGTCATAAAACTTAATCACATCACGTTCTCGACCTCTTTCACAGCGTTGTTTTTCAAGGAAACGTTTGAAACAATCCTCCATTGCTAAACATAACTTCTCACCTTTATCTTCCGGTATATCACAAATGCACAAATCGCCAATTATTTCATCGACCTCACGTAAAGCACGGTCAATAATAGCTTTTGCAACTGTAAATATAAAGGTTTTTTAAATGAAGCTAATAGAATAATATATAGAATTGTAACTTACTGTGCGCCTTTTCACGTGTTCGGATAACAGACGTTAAATAATCAATTATAAATTGACAGAGACATTCTGTAGTCGGTTGACAGCGTAAGACTTCGCGCGTTATATCAGACAACAATTCCGGTAATCCATCGGGTACATCAATAACTTGACCACGTACTCTGCCACGTGTGATAAGATAATTCATTGTGATTGCCTTAATAAAACAATTTCTAAAAGTCGTTAATTGAGTCTTTAATTGTTTAAAATTTTTGCTAACAAAAACAATTAAAATAAATATTATTTTTAGTTTTTAATATATGGCAGGCAAACTATGTTTTTTCTATTCAATAATTTTTATTAACGTTGCAAATTATATTGAAATTCTAAAAAAGTTAAACTATTTGATAAGTATTATATTATCTTATAT